AATTGTTGACTTAAGCTTAGGGCATAATTTACTAATATAGTTTCCTTTACACTATTCTAAGAAACCATAGAGCTGATGGAACGTGCAGCTAATTTCTCTCTCCACCTATCCTTCATAAAGCACTACACAAACATATCGCTGTCTTAAAGACATACAGAGTAAGATACTTGCTTCTACTGTCCACATCTTCAGTACTCCTTTGAGATCACTCTATGTTTTTTCATCTTTTGCTTTTATTTACTGTTGAAAAGAAGTATTTAGGATGAGGAGTATACCTTTTGGCTGCCACACATCAAAAGTTTGAAGGTCTTTTCTTGAACAGGGCATCCTTAAATTCTTTTTAGAAAAACTCCCTAAAATCTCTCTCTTAAAAGAGCCATCATATCCTGCTGTCCTTAATGGAACTGCTGGTACTCCAAAGCTGGGCACTGTATTCCTTTGTTCACAAATCAAAGTCAAGTTTCCTTCAGGAAAAAAAAGGTAGTGCCCCATGTCCTTGCAAGGACTACCTATCATATCTATAGTGAGCATGCCAAATTAAAATCAATTTCAAGACTGGAACTGGAACTAGGACTTCCATATAGCACCACTCACTGCTTACTTGTGAAGCAACATGTACATATCTATTTACGGCCACCTCTCAAGCATAGAGTCAGTTCTTAGTTGCAGAATATATGCACACAAATACCTCTGTGTGTAAACTATCCATCTTGTAGCCTGTGATGGCCATGTTCCAGATGATTAGCATTATTTTTCTTTCTTTTCTCTTCCTTTTTTTCCTTTTTCTTATTACAGGATAATACAATAAAACTCAAGAATAAGGCAATACTGACCTCTATCAATGACACATTTTAGAACGCTTGAGTTTTAGCTGGTTCAGGCAGAATTGATAGCAGAGATTAGAACCAAAGGTAAAACACAGCAAGAGAATTAGAATAAAAAGCAACAGCATCTGTCGAGCTTAAATCAGGGAGAATAGCAGCAAAGCTCCTTTGGACTGTGGTCATAACCACTGTGACGTGAGTTGAACGCAGAGACTGTTCGAGCTTGTACTTGACATAACTAGTTCCTGTTTGACCTAAGGAAAAAAGCATAATTGCAGCAGACCCAAACAGCAGCAGCAGCAGCAGCAGGGCAGCCAGCAGTGACATTCCACCCCGTAGGAAACAGAAGCCTTATAGAGCACTCACTTTCCCAGGAAGTCCCACACAAACCCCCCTACGTGTTGCGGTGCAGGGACCGACACCTGGTAGGGAGGGTGCAATTTGCGGGAGGCGTGCTTTCTGAGAAAAGGCATAGTCAAAAAAACCCCCGCACGTACAAAACAAAACAACTCGTGGAACCAGGACGTGACAGTATAAATGGAAAGAAAAAGCGAGGAAGGAAACAAAAAACACAAAATGAAAAGTTACAGAGAGACAGGAGATTGTGGAATGGCAATACAAATAGCAAACAGTTAGTTATAAAGAAAGTGAGTAACCAGACAGCTACAAAACCCTCTACACCACCACAATCCGGGGACAGAAACAAAACTTATCGGGCTCTTCACCCAGAGAAGAAATATGAACTTATGGCCCACCTCCCCATAAGAAAAAGCAAAATCCTGCCCACAGAGAATATAAATGAACGAGGTTTTGCTTTCAATCTCATGTTGACTCTAGAGGACTTTTCAAACTTTTGCATAGCATGCACCATATTTAAGACACTGTTCTTGGATATCTTTCCTCCCATTCACAGCTGAAAAACAATGTCCCCCACCCAGTAGTCGCAACAGTTACCGAAGAGTGGAAGCATTTCTTTCTTTAATTTGAAGTGAAGGCAGCTTTGGCATCATTGAAAAGGCTTAAGAGAACAGTTTTCTGCTTTTCATTTCATCTGCCTCTCCTCCTAT